TTCTCCAAGATATTTTTCCTCCAAATTCTCTCTCTTAGTACTAGAACATACATGCATCTATCTCGACATATCCTCATTTCTCTATTAAGTTAGCGCTTGACTGGCCAACACTCTACTTTATACAATATATAGTTGATCTAATTACAACCACTATGTAGATCTAGTGTACTTTAAGTCTGGTAATGACACATTCTTGTTACACAAGACCCCAGATGTAAGCCTCCATTTCATTCACTATGTTCCAATACAATAGGTAATATCCTCATCGATCTCCCTAGTTTCTTCTTGAAACTTCCTCTCTTTAAATTGACTTAAGTATCAATCCTCACTTTCATATGCACCAAGCGACTTACAACACTAAATATATACTCCATATACTATAAAATCATAACACTATAAAATTATATTGAACGATTATGTATGTAACTAAATCCATTTCGAAATGCTATCGGCAACACTCATATTCTCATGGCAAAGGACAAAGATACATAGAAAAGCAAGTGGTAAAATTGGGCTTGCGGTACACATTTAGCCCACGGTCAAATCCATAACAATTTTGCCAAGGAAAACTACACACATTCATGTTATATACACTAATTATATCTATGGTTTCAAATAATTATGTTATTTACCACTAACTAAGAATTTTCCATCATATATTGAGAAAGATACAATATGCGTACTTTTGTTATTATATACTCTAAGATAGAGAGAGAGTCGAGATGGGTAGGGAGTCGAGCAAGATGGGGAGGGACGTAGTCATATTGTATCCTAGATATATGTGAATCACACTAGATGTATGTATCTATTTGTATCTGATGTGATTCACATGTAATCTAAGATACCAAATATATAGGAGAGTGATGAACAAGATAGGAGGGAGGTGAGCGAGATTTGCCTATGTATCCCAGATACATGCGAGTTCCTTTAGATACACTATATCTAGAACAAATTACACCTAATGTTGATCCATGTATCCCGATATACATGTATCGATACACATCAAAATGTTAGAAGATTTATAATATTGCAAACTAGACGGTATCTAAGTAATTAGCTCCTAAAGTTTATATAATAATTCTATATGAATGAGATTATTACACCATATAACAAGCTAATAGGCAACATCTAAAAAATATTATTTTATAAAATAACATAATCTTTATTTTTGCAAAATTTAGCCAACATAATCACTTTATAATTTGTATATCTCTAATAAAACTTAGCCAATCCCAACTTGTTTTGAGATTGAGATGTTGTAATAGTAGTAGTAGTTGTTATATTGTTGTTGTTATTGTTGTATTCACGATATAATCTATGTATAGTAAATATGTATACAGTATACGTTGCTTGTATAGTTATCATACACTTATATACAGTTGATCTATACTTGTTATATAGTATGTATACACTTGTGTCGACAAAATTCGTTTCATTCGATTGAAGAAATGGTAGTGTCATGGAATATGATCTATTATTTTCAAAAGGGAATTAATAAGAGTAGAAGCTACACCTTGTACATACCAAGTGTAACATGTCGATTTCATTTGGCTTCCCCGATCGATCAAGCCTGGTCTATTTGACTCTTATCCCTCCCCCTGGCCTCTTACGTTGTTTCGTTTTTTTTCTATACCGTTCGATTCAAGAGATGATAGTGTTATGAAATATGATCTATTATTTTCGATACGGAACTAATACGAGTAGATTCTGCATCTTGTAAATGCCAAGTGTAACAATGTTTTACTGTTTTTGTTTGGTATATGAAGCTGATATATATTTATATATATATATATATATTCATTTCTCCTCTTTTGTTTTTTGTATTAATATTTGCATATATCTCTTTCGATGGACAACCCTTGAATGCAACTATTCAAAGGTAGAGTCTTTAAAATGATCTATAGTTAAAGGGTGTCAAATAGATGAGTTGAATTGAATATGGACGAGTAAAATGGATTGAATTATTAAATAAAAAAGTCGTTGACACACAAATCGAACACACAAAAAAAAATCTAACTTCATAATACAATTTTTTTTTTGTGGGAATACACATTTGTTTTCTTTATTTTAATTTCTTTATAGTATATTTAATGCACTATCATACTAAATTTAAAATAATATGGTTTGATTATTTTTTTCATCACTACTATACTCATTCGAATATTATATCTCATAATCGTCTTTTAAAATAAATAAAATATTTTTCATGATAATAGCAAATCTTTTTTAATAAAGTTTGTACTCTTATGTGATAAATATGGAAAGACAGGTTTTGTGGGAGAAATTTAATAATTAGATGAATTTTATGTATCAAAAAAAATAAAAAATAAGAATATATTTGATACTACTGACATGTAATTTTTTAAAAAATATTTTTATTTTAATGATTAATTTCAGCCTTGAACATCTATTTGTGGATTTATTTACTTATCATTATCTAAATATTTTATTCAGTTAATAAGAAGAATATCTTTTTCTGTATTTATATAGTTCATTCTGTTTATTTTAAAAAAATAAATATTATTTAGTTAATAAAAATATTGCACGTTTTAGTTTAAAAAGTATTTTTGAATTGTACCTTAAAAAGATGTTCATAAGGTACTAATGCATACCTTCAAAAAATTAGTTTTCATTTAAATTAAATCTCTTTATCAAAGAAAATAATTAAATTTCTCATTAATAATAAGTACAAATGATTATCTTTTCTACTTAAGATTATACTTAATTATTTTGTTAAGCGTAGATTCAAAAACAAATAATTGAATTTTCTTTAAATATAATCAACTAAATAGATTAGTCTATAATATAATGGATGTTTTTCAAGAGAAAAATAATATTATTTTGGTAATTAGATATTCCTAAAATAATTAATGATAAGATACTTATAACTACGTAACAAATAACACATTAAATTTTTATGGCCAAAAGGATTTTCCCATCAGGATATACATGTTCAAAAAATTATTCATTTAATACAGAATTTTTTACAGAAGGAGACAATTAAAATTCATGTTAATAATATATATATAATTGACATAGGGATTCTATAGTACATAATTCACTATAAAATTTTCAATAATTGATGCAATTAATTGTTATTAATATGTTGGAAATATGATAGAGGAATATAAAGATCCAAGAGCGGTTTCCTCCAAATTATGGCCAAAATTTTCTGGCCAAAAAGATTTTTTCAATAGTTTTAAGTTTGTGTCAATTCTTCATAAATAATTATTGATTTTAGCGATACTTTGTATTTATGATCATTTATAGTAATACTATGTTAAATCTGCAATATGAATTAAAAGTGAATTATGTATGCAATATATATGAATTATAATTGTTTTTGAAATATATTATGTTTGTTTGGTAAGAATTTGACACATTGTATTAAAAGTGTATTAGAATGTGTCTTAAATGTATTATCTATCATTAAAACTTGTATTTTATGTGAATAATAAAATGTTCTTTGTAATGTGTATTAAATTTGTATTATAAATGAATTAAAAGTGATCAAATAAAAAATAAATATTATTACTGTAAATGATAAATATTTTTTTTATTATAATATATTTATGTAAGTTTCCTATACTATTACCAACTAATAACATACTTATCAAATTAGCATTAATTAGTCATGTTTTAAGAAATTAACAAATATGATTGTATATTTGCTATTTTCCTTTCTTGTTTGCTATATTTCATAATTGTAACTTTAGGCACATACAATGTCATTACATCATTATCTTAATACTCTTCCCACTTTATCTTTTTTGTTATATCTTTTATTTTTATTTATTATTTAATAATTATATATATTGGATCATTTTATCTTTATTTATTATTTATATATGTTTCATTTTTTGACCTTACCTTTTTATAATAATTTATCTCATGGCCTATTTTTCTTATAAATCTATCATTCAAATTATAGATATGTGATTGTATAACGACAAAGAATGATACAATCTATCAAAACACTATATTCAGTAAAATAATATAATAACTATAAGATAATATATAATGGGCAACTTTCATAGATAGCAAACAAAAAATTCATATTTGTATGTTATAGCAAAGTTTGCATAATTGCGCTCCATAGCAAACATAAAACTGTATAATTCGCTATACATATACAATTGTATAATTCGCTGGCTAAAATTGTATAATTTGCTGGCCTATTTCGCTGCAATCGTATAATTCGCTATCCTATTTCACTACGATTGTATAATGCACATTTGTATAATTCGCTGCCTATTTCGCTGCAATGTTTTTATAAAATTTGCTTTGCATACAGTTGAATCGAATTAAAATGTATGTATATTGCATAATTATGTATAGCAAGAAGATATATGATTTTCTCTCGCTTTATACAAAAACAGAAACACAATATATACACTTCTGTTGTATATAGCTAGAGAAAATTGTATTTCACTGCAATTGTATAATTCACAATTATATAATTCGTTGGCCTTTTTCTTTGCAATATTTGAAGTAAAATGTTTGTAAATTGTATAATTAAGTGTATAACACGAAGATATATATATTTTTGCATGTGTATATACAATTTTCTCTCGCTTTATACAAAACAAAAACAGAATTATACACTTCTTTGTATAAAGCGAAAGAGGCGAGCGAGATTTATGGGAGAGAGACGTTGGCAAATTTTAGCTAACGTTTGCTAAAGAGCACAATTAAATCGAACGCTAGCTATTCCATTTATTTTAGGTTATTAGTTTGCTATTATATACAATTTTTCCTATAATATATTATGAAACAATACGTAAAAAATCATCTGAACAAAGTGTTATATATTCCTTCCCTTAGAATTCATTTTCTTTGTTTCTCAAGTGTCCAGAGTCTATATCGAGCTATGACTAAATTTGAATCACGCTTTGCAAGACTCATTCGATAATAACTTTCTCCAATAAATCTTTCTTTCATATAATCAGAATTAAGGGTGAAACACTGTAACAATAGGCGCGGCCTATGTTTGGGTTCTTGAAGTCAGTCATGTTTCCTCATCATTCACCAGTCTCCTTGTGTCTCCTCTCTTTTCGTTCCACGTGTTTCTCATTCTGCCCTGAAATTTCAAGAACCAAGAATATTATTTTTTGTACTTAATCCCCAAAATTCAATCTTGTAGAAACCTCAAACCCCATAAAATACTAGTTGATTTTTTTCCAAAAAATGGAAATTTCTTTCCAAAAAAATGTAATCTCATATTTCCTTGTTTGCTTGCTATGTTTCACCCAATTTTCTTCAATTTCTTGTGAGAAAAAAGTTTCTTTGACTTTGTATTATGAAAGTCTCTGTCCTTACTGTTCCAATTTCATTGTTAATTACTTACCTAAGATTTTCAAGAATGGGATGATTGATATTGTTGATTTTAAGCTTGTTCCATGGGGAAATACTAAGCTTCAACCAGACAATACCTTCAAATGCCAGGTAATACAAGATTCCCATTTTTATTTGAAATTTGAAGCTTATGGATTTAATTTGTACATATTCATCAAATCACTAGATTTGGATCTAAAATTTAGCTAGCGTTTGACCATAGATGTTAAAGGGGTTGATTTCAGAAAAAATTTACATTTTAACTATATGTTTGACAGTTTAGCAATAATGGGCTTAGAGGACGTTTTGGATTTCTGGGACTTCCACTCATGAAAGTTCAAATTTTTTCAAAGTAAAATGCATGTCCAAACACAACTTTAAGTTAAAATTTGAATCAAGTAAACTATGCTGAGTTTAGAGTATGATGTTCATACATTATGTAATATTTTTGTGTATGTATGAACTATAATGGTTGAACAAATAAAGAGTGAGTGGAGTTGAACCCATTGAGATTTGAGAAGGACTAAATCTGTATCCGGGGTATAGTTTGGCTTGTTAAGTTTACGTTATTTTGTGGTTCTTACATATGTGTATACATATATATATATATATATACCGGAAGTAGCCTCTCTAACTCCCAAGGTAGGGGTGAAGTCTGTGTAGACTCTATCCTCTCCGGATCACACTTGTGGGATTACAGTGGTTGTTGTTGTTGTTGTTGTTGTTGTTACGTAAGTATATATTTGTATAATGCATAGCATCAGGCAAAACTAGAGATTTTATGAAATTCTCTTTGTAATGGTTGCAGCATGGAAAAGATGAATGCATTTTGGATACTGTAGAGGCGTGTGCAATTGATGCATGGCCAGATTTGGTGAGCTTCTAATTAAAGTCGTTGAGCATGGTTTCGATAAGTTGTGGTTTGCTAGTTGAAAAGCTTAAAAACATCACAGCTCATTTCATCTAGAGCACGTTTCAGTTTGATGTATAGGAGGAAATAATCCATACGTTACTAATATTTGTATTACTAATCCTTACAGAACTTGTGCTGAAACTATGTTGCTCGAACTCTCCAAAAATGTCATTTATTCTCCAAAAATGCACTACTTTTGGAGTACCCTACACGCAACCGTCAAAAACTTTTTGGAGAGTCTGAGCAACATAGCTTGAAACAAACAACCTTAAAAGATAGCTTGAAACAAACAACCCCTTAAAAGATAATGTGTAGCACTACATAGAGAGTTACTTGATAAATGATAGGTAGCATGTTACTTTTATATCTCTTTAAGGAGGCTATTCTAAATTCTGGTTGCATTTTTATTGGATTTTTGATGCAGAGTGAACACTTCCCTTTCATTTACTGTGTGGAAAGTCTGGTCTACCACAAGAATTATACCCAATGGGAAACATGTTTTGAAAAACTGAATTTGAAGAAAAAACTTGTTACTGATTGTGTCCTCAGTGGGCGAGGGAACGAGGTTAGTTCTCTTGTTTGATTTATAGCTAATCATAAAATCATGTCCTTTATATTTCTCTCTGGTTTTTGTTTTTTTGGGTTTTTGAGCATTTCGTGGCAAGTTGGTATTATTTCTGAATTACCTTGCTGTAAAGATGTATTTAAATTTATAATTTCACATCCTAATGTTAAAAAAAAAACTAAAAAAACTTTCTTTTCCTTTGTTGTGCTATATCCTTAATCAATAGATGTTGAACATATGAATATGAAAAAGAGGATTTTTTTCAAGTCGACTAGTCAGCTTGCAGATATATACATTCTTGAGCATACTAGCTTGCGTTATGGATCTATGTATATAGAAGTAACTGAATTTGAATGTGTTCTTCACGAAATTAAGTTTGTAGATAGTTGTAAAAAATAAAAAGAAAGTATTCTCTGTTATGTCTTGCTGCATTATCGTAATAGTTATAGTTCCACCTTTTTGGATGTACCTTCTCTCTCCCCCTCTTGGATATACCCTTCAATGTGTTGATAAAAATAGCACATAAAAATACTAGTCAGGGTATATTACGAGAATAAAAGCGGGCGTGATAGCGAGAATAAAAAAGAGAAACAACAACACCAAGATCCCAATGTGGAAAATCATTCTCAATAAAGAAAGAAATAAAGCTGGAAAGTATCAGATCTTTCAAAATATAGGCAGTCACTTGAGATATCTCTCTGGTATATGGACTATCCAGTTTACAGTTCCCAGTGTTCTGTTTCGACCCCCTGACTTCCTATTGCGTGAGCAATGTCATCTTTGTAGCAAATTGTTGTGTAATTAGACTCCCGATGGCAAAGGAATAAGGGATTTTTCCCATGCTATCTTTCTCTTCCTTTGTTGTAAGACACATTCTTCATGTTAAACTCATTCAAGTATACTTTCGGTGTATTTGCTTGTGAGAACCACACCTTTTTTAGTTGTTCTATCTCGATCAATCTTCACTCTAGAATTGATTGTGCCGGGGCCAACCTAGTCCTTCATGTCAAATGATTTGGACAAATCTCCCTTCAACTTGATCAACTTCTTGCCTTGTCATATAATAATTATGTTATCCACATACTAGTTACAACAAAATGATAAAGTTGTGTTCGAAAATTTCAAAAGAGACTTTTTTTTTGGTAGAGATTCCATCTCTTTTTGCATGACTTTCATCCAATACCTTCTTAAGACTTTTTGGCTGCTCTCATCAGTAATGAGGACATACTTAAGGAAGCATACTTGGATGATTTTACTCTCTGGCCTTTTGATTTCCCTTCCTCAACATCTGCATCAGGGTTCTCTTTCTCTCAGCAACCTTCTCTACTCTTTCTATAGTGCTTTCTCCACCTAAAGGATGGTTAGAAGTAGAAGCAATGTAACAAGATTATGGACTACTTTTTTCCCCTGGCAATTGCTGACCGATTATTAGCAATTCCACACCATTTTCTCGGAGCAGTATATCTATGTTTCTGATGACTTTCTTCTTTTTCGGGATCCCACAATGTGTAACTGATGAATATGTAAGGAGCTACTTATTGTCCGACTTCATTCGTTGCCCGTACAGTTCATGTTCAGAAGTTCTCACATGAACACCTTTAGCTTGGGAGTAGAACACCACCTCATTCATCTAAACTTTTTGGGATATCTAAACCAAGTGAATTGATAGAGTTCTGTTGATCAAGTAATAGGTTTTCTGAAGTCTAAACTGCTTCATCTGATAATGACTTGGGCGGTTTAGGCGATTTAGCCGTTGTGAGCATGCTTCTCACCTTCTCAACTATGACTCAATTCATCCTTTTAGTTACACCATCGTGCTATGGTGGGTTTCAGGAACTGTCTTTTCACGTATGATCCCATGACTTGAACAATACTCATCAAATTCTGTTGAAATGCAATCACCTCCGTTGTCAGGTCAGAGATGCGTTAACGTTCAACTTCTCCCTTTCCACTAGAACAAGGAACTTCTGAAAAAACTTGAAACACCTAGTTTTTGGTTCTCAAGAAATAGGCCCACTGTTTCTGACAAACAAGTGGCAGCTTGGTTAACAAAACTGTAATTGTAACCTTGTTCTCAGAGGACTTATGAGAGTAAACATATAGAGGGGAAGTGAGTCGAGTTAATTAAGAAACTCAAGACAAAATTGCTAACATAGTGGTTAAGTAATCTAGAAATTTGTAGTGGCGCAGGTCAACAAATAACGTTTTCCTCGTTTCTTGCTATGATGTGACCGGAGAGGATTTAAGTTACTCACATGCTCTGTTTGAGATTGGTGAGTCTGAGTAGAATTACTCAGAAAGCTAATCCTAGCTTCCATTTGTTTGGCTTTAATTCCAACAACTGAAAATCATTATTATCGAGGTTATCGGAAACAAATTTGATTTATTAAGAGCTTTATGGTCCGATGTTTTGTTTCTTATAGTAACATCTTATGTTCTGTGAATTAATGTTACTTGATCTTATGCGCAGCTCGAACTACAGTATGCGGCTGAGACGAATGCCCTTCAACCTCCACATAAATATGTGCCGTGGGTTGTTGTTGATGGTCAACCACTTTACGATGTCAGTTCTTCTTACTCTACACTTCAGAACTTGCACTGTTTATTATCTAGTGTTGTTGTCCTTTTCTCACTGTTTGTCAAAATATTTTTTCGAGTTCTTTTCCTGCATCAACGCCGACAAAAAACTCCTTCCTGCCACCCGACGCACACACACACCCAGCATTACCCCTGAATACTGTTTCACAATAATATTAAAGTTACCAGCATTACACTTTAAGGAGCGGACTTCAACCTTCTGGCCTGATATAGAGCTCTCTACCTCCGAAATGGCTTTGGATCTCAACAGTTCCTCGAAGTCTTTCCAATATCTATCTGCTATGGAAATTTTCTTTTTTGTACAACTTACAACAACATACTCAGTGTAATTCCACAAGTGGGGTCTTGAGAGGGTGGTGTGTACGCCGTCTTACCCCCTCTTACCTGGTGAAGGCTGAGAGATTGTATTATGGTTTGCTGTATAAAAACTCTTTACCCTTGACAACATATTTCGTTGTTGCAGGACTACATGGACTTCATTAGCTTCATCTGCAAAGCGTACAAAGGAACTACCCCGGTCCCTAGTTGCAGCTCATCCATTAACGTCATTAAAATTGGAAGGAAGTTTAATCCTTTCTGTTTAAAGCAGACAGCCATGTCCAAGTTATCAACTGTAAGTTCGGCTATCACATCATGGTTGAACCGCGCTAAGCTCACTGCATCTGCATAATACTACAGTCCACAGAACTCGTTGGTGCAGCAGATTCACGTTTTTCGTTTTATGAAATGATGAGATACTGTAGTTGGTTTATGCAATTGTAATATACTTGTCATGATGGATGATAATGAAGAAGGTGCTTAGTTCTCTCTAATCAGCTGTTGATGGGAAATGTGGTAATATGAGAACTCGGAAACAGAAAAAAAGTTAGTAATAAGGTCTGCGTACGTACATTCTATCCTCTTCAGATTTTATTCGTAATATTTCACTCTATATGTAGTCGTTGGTTGATTTTTGATTTGGATATAGAAAGTGTGGGTTTTCATAAGTTGTCTACATCTAATAAGTAGCCATGAAATTGATTCTGAATTAATATGATCTTATTTTATATTTTGATTTTTTTTTAGTACCCATTGCACACAGTTGAAGGTGAAAATAAGGGATTCAGTTGGGTTTTAAATTTGACTATTGGCTAACCTTCTAATATTAGCTTATTTTGAAAGGTATTCTTTTTTAATTGTTTCGAATTATTTGTTAATTTTGATAAATAAAAAAAGAATGATTTTTTAAAAATATTATATCCTTAATTAATTATTTTATAAAAGTCAATTTTTTTTTGAAAATTTTAAGTTGATTCATAATTAATAGGAATAAAATGTTAAATTTATTATAACTATAATTATTTTTTAATAAATGTGTTAATTCAAAAATGAATAAATAAATTTATTTTATTTCTTAAAATCACTTTTTTTTTCCTTTAAAATTTGATCAAAACACGTTCTTTTTATTTATTTATTTATTTAGAAAAAAAAAGAGAAGCTCTTTTTTGAGTTAAATAAGGACTTTAACTTTTTTTTTTAGAAAGTGGCACTTGACTATAGGTGATATCGATGAGATCTGATTAGCTTTTAAATAAAATATAATTCACGTGGATTTTTTTTAATTATTATTCATTTACAGGACAGCTAATAAAATGACATTACTTTATTCCAATAGAAAAAAGTATATGAAAAAATATAATCGAAATTTACGAATAGTCATGTGAAATCGTGTGCAAATAATATTATTTTAAAATTTCTTATTTCCTACGGCGTTCGCATTATGTTTTTAAGTGATTATTTTAATTAAAAAGTGAAAAAAATTAACAATTTATTATATAAAATAATAAATAATAGTATGGACTGTTTTCACTGATCAATGTGAAGAGATAATTTTAAGATTGATTTCAGCTTTTATCTAACCATATAAAAGTAAAAAAAAAAATCCCAAATCCATCATCTCAAAATGGGGTTTTTTTCCCAAAAAATTTTATCATCATTTTTATTATTTTCCTTGCTATGTTTCATCCAATTTTCTTCCATTTCTTGTGAGAAAAAAGTTTCATTAGCTTTGTATTATGAAAGCCTTTGTCCTGGTTGTTCAAATTTTATTGTTAATTATTTACCTAAGATTTTCAGAAATGGGATAATTGATTTTGTTGATCTTAAACTTGTTCCATGGGGAAATACTAAAATTCTACCCAATAACACCTTCAAATGCCAGGTAATCCATCAATCTCTTTTGTACATAAAAATCACTATTTCATACTGAAAAAATGCTTCAGTAGATATTTTGATTGAATCAGCTTGAAAATAATAAACAATAGTGTTCTCATACGAAAAGTTGAGAAGTTTTCCAATGTTTCAATGAGAATTTCTTTTCCACCTTGTGTTTTCCTAGTGAGCTGGTTCGGTAGAGATTTTTTTTCTTTGGACCATATTTCGATTGTTAATATATTGATTGTTTGTTGAACCCTGTGAATTGAGTGAAAGTAGGATACGAGGTAAAAATAGTTTTAGAAAACGTTTCAATAAAGATTGAACTGATTCCATGAATCTAAGAAATCATGTTTTATAACATAAATTTTGTATTAATTCGCGGTTAAAAAAAACCTCTGTTTCGATTAGTGTATCGATAGTTAGGTGAAAAGTCAGATGATGCAAATGTGGGTTGACTTTATAAGGGGTAGCTAGCACACTTATCCGGTACCTGTTGGTGGTGGGAGGTGTTAGGTATCTCGTGAAATTAGTTGAGTTGCGCGTAAAGAAGAAGGGAAGGGACTTATGTTCAGGTCGATTAGAAGGTGCAGAAATAGCTAGAACTGAATGCGGAAAGTATGGAAAAACATCTCGTAATGTATTTAACCAGAAAATAGATTATGCTCCTGCGGAAGTATCTACTCGTTACGGAATCTCAGGTGTCAAAGTGTGGATTTAATATAGTCAAAAAAAGGGGGGGCGTGCTATATCCGAAACGTATGAAACATGACCGAGTTACGAGAGCTATAACGTGGGTCTATGCCCCTTTTACCCCCTATCACCGGAACTACTTAAGCTGGTTGTCCCAACTCAAAGCAAAAATCAGATTTGGAATCGGAGGTATTTCACGGGATGTCTGTAGACGCAAAGTAGTGTGTTTCTTCTTTTTCTTTGTTTAGTGGAGATCTACTCCTATGCTAAGTGTCTTTGTTGTGTAAGCTTCCTTATTCCCATGTAACGGCTATTAATGAATAAAAAGTGCTGGTCTGCTTTGTTAAATATTCCTTATGTATACGTAATTAATAATCCCAGAGGGAATCCGGTGAACCTCAAAAACTACTTAGTTAGAGATTGTTTGCTATTGTTTATGCCTCAGCAGAGAAGTAAAGTTCTGCTCTCCTCTCTTTCTCTTACGTATCTAGTTCTATAGCTTCACCCTTACTTTTACGATGTAAGGGCAGAACGTAATAGAAAAGCAAGGTGTGGCGGTAAGTCAAAACGGTCCCGGAAGAAGCTTCTTTTGATGTACTCTTTGTTGTAATGATTGCAGCATGGTCCAGCTGAATGTTTTCTGGACACTGTAGAGGCTTGTGCTCTTGATGTCTGGCCAAATTTGGTAAGTTATCGGTATTCACTTTCACTTAGTTCAGTTATTGAAAATTGATTTTGCGACTATATCTATAAAGTCTGGTTACATTTTTATTGGATATATTTGATGCAGAATGAACACTTCCCTTTTATTCACTGTGTGGAAAGTTTGATCTACCATAAGAATTATACACAATGGGAAACGTGTTTCGAAAAACTGAATTTGAGGAAAAAACTCGTTACTGATTGTGTTGGCAGTGACAGAGGCAAAGAGGTTAGTTCTGTTGATTTGATTTACATCTAATCCCGTTCTGTTTGAAGAAAAAACTCGTTTTCTTGTACTTCTGTTTCTATTTTTCCCTTGAGCCTAGGGTCTGTCGAGAACAACCTCTCTAACTCTGAAGATACTAGGAGTATGTTGATGTTGTTGCTGTTGATTTCACATCGTAGTGTATCCCTCATTTCTTGCTGTAAAGAACTACGATTGAAACAGAACTTTGATTGAATGTTTTTTTAGCAGTAGTATATCTTATGCTGTGTGAATTAAACGTCGCTTAAATCTTATGTGCAGCTTGAACTACGCCACGCAGCTGAGACACCTCCGCATAAATTTGTGCCATGGGTTGTTGTTGATGGACAACCGCTTTACACTGTTAGTTTCTAATTCTTCCTGTATATTCCTTGCAATTTGCAATATTATATACCTGCTAGAGTCCCTGTCGGAAACAACCTCTCTAACTTCCAAAGTAGATATAACGTCTACGTTTCCAGACTCCCCTTGTGGGATATATTGTGGTTGCTTTGATATTGCCTTTTGCTTTCAACAGTTCTTCATAAGTCTTTTCTATATCTATCTGCTTCCGGAAGTCTTGTTTTGTACGATTTGTGACTAATGTAAATGGCCTCCGTGTGTCGGGAGAGGGAGGGGAACCGAAAGTTTCCTAGAAGTACATGGCCTCTGAGCACGACTTGGTCTGCTAATCGCGTTAAACCATCCAAATGCTATGTTGCTCTATGGTCAATCTTAAAAAATGGCACCATGTGTCTGTTGGATCCTTCAAAAGTAGCATTGTGACGTTGGACGTTCTGTGTGCTACTAGCAATTGAGTGTTTGAACAACATAGACCAAAGGAGGACCGTTAGCCCTCAAAAGTACTATCCTTCTAACGCGATGACTATGTATTTTCGTCATTGCAGGACTACAGGGAATTCATAAGCTACATTTGCAAAGCTTACAAAGGAACCGCGCCTATCCCCGGTTGTAGCTCATCTGATTCTATAAGTTTCACTTCCAAGTTATCAACTATCAGTTCAACAATTACATCATTTGTTGCACAGAGAGTTAAGCTTGCTGCATCTGCATAATCCACAGGTTATGTCAACATATAATAGAGCTACTTGATGCTGGTTATGTTTTATGAAATGATGAACTGCATTTGTAAAATATTTATCATAGTTTGAATGATAATGAAGCTGTTCAGTTCTCTAATAAGATTGTTTGTGATTAATTAACGATGAATTTAGCATAAAATACAATAAAATCTAAGTAACAGATATGGAATCGTACTAAAACACCTAAAACTTGTTTGTGTGGTATATTATATATGATTTTATATCATAGATATGTGCAGTAGCGGACCCATAATTGTCGTTAAGGAGTGTCAATGTTGTAATAAAAAATATAATTATGAGGCTAGTAGGACTAGAACAGGCAATTTGACTTCTATATACAATGTAATTTTAATGAAGGAGTGTATCGCTTAACACCCCTTTGGTAAGGGTTGGTCCGCCCCGAGGACGATAATAATTTATTACTTTATCCCTACATATATTAAATATTAATGTTAGTACTTTTCTGGTTACTACCTTTGTCATTTAGCCTTCAATTCACGTTACTATCCTAAATCTCGTATTTGTGTTGCACTTGTGTAGTTCTTTTCATGTTAGATATTATTGTTTCTATTTTATGAATATTTTGTAAAGTCATTGTCGTATCACCGAAATTATTGGAGATGTCATATATTTATTTTTAAAGTATTTTTATTAATTAAATCGAAATCGAACTGTTAAGTATCAAACTCGATAAATTGAAAATCGATAAAAAAAATATCTTATTAATTTAGCATATTTGAAAATCAAAAATCAATAAACCAAATCAAGTTAAGAAAGCAAATTAATCCTAAACCAACTCAAATTAGGAAAATAAAAATTAGTCCTACAATTCAAATTAGGTAATTAAATTAATCCTAGACTAACTCAAATTAGGACAGTAAAAACAGTATAGCTCTACAATTCAATTCAGGAAACTAAATTAAACTAATTTTAACAATTACAATTATTATTAGATATGGGATATATTTTGTTGCTAAAATTACCATGCGACTAATATTAAAAAATATCCTATATTATTATTATTGAATATTAATGGGTGTTTAGGAATTTTTTTATTGTTTTTAATAGTTTAAAGAATGTCGGTGTGCAAATATTTTGAGTATTTTTAATTGTTCAAGT